GAATGAGCTGAACTGGTGGTAGCACCGCACAAGCCTGAGCCAGAGATGGCTGGAGCTGCAGGGCTGTCAGGGCTCAGTGGAAGCGCCAGGATCAGCGCCAGGCTCCAGCTGGAGCTCGATGCTGATCCTGGTGCTTCTGAGCCCAGAAGAAGCACTGATCAGCTGGAATGTTGCAGCATCTCCAGGGTCTTGTGATTTACATTCAGATGATTGGCAACTGATTCATATTTATGACGGCCACAGTGTCCCAGGGTCATGTGAAGTGACCAAAACCTGCTGCAACCACCCAGCAGACGGGGGGGGGGGGGATAAAAACCAAACACCCTCCACCCCACCCCCGCTGCCAATCCTCAACAGAAATGCTCACAACAATGAAAACCTCGGACAGGAGGAAGAGCGCAGCCGAGTGAGCAGGCAGGTGTCTTGCTCAGCTGTGGCTTGGGGGGGGCACTTTTTCAGTGCCATTGTAACTTCGAACAATCACTAAGCGAACTGTTGTAAGTCGAGGACTACCTGTACTTCATCACTTTTTTCCTTTTTTTTTTTTTTGGTCATCAAGTTTTTGACACCTTGCTAGGCAACTGGTGGTACTCGGATGTTGCCATATCCTAAAAGTGGTACAATGGGTGAAAAGGTTGAAAAGCCCTGCACTAGATCACCTAGATCCCTCTCACAGTTACTACTGCTGAGTCAGGTATCACCTATTCTATAACTGTGCATTTGGTTTTTCTGCCTAGGTTCAGCACCTTACTTTTCTCATGAATTGTACCCTTATTTTTTCAACCTATATGTGGAATATAAATTCAGGAATGGAAGAAGACGAGTGCAGTTTTAAAATTGGAGAAAGAACCTTCTATATAAACTGTGCTATGCTGTAACTGACAATGTAAATGATCTGCCAAGTGTAGCAATGAATGTAAGGAGGAGAGAATAACAATAGGATTAAGATTAAATATAAAGAAGGACCAAATTAATGATAACAAATATAGTAATCAGCCTTAATGAATTTTGATGCTGAAGAAAACTGTTGAGAATGTCTTGGATAGGAAGAAAATAAACAAATGTATGGCTGAACAAATCAACCCAGAGTTCTAACTCAATGCACACAAAAAATCAGGCTCAAATTATGATTCTTTGTATGCATTAAGTTCTCTGCATAAATCTATAATTCTGGGAATGGTAGAAGAAAAAAGAAGAGCACCAGCAAGATAGATGAACTCAGTTACAATGGTGTGGCAATGGGTATACCCATTGGAAGACCTGAAGGACCAGGTTGGGAACAGATCCCCTGGAGAATATCTGTGTGGTTGCTAAGAGTTAAAAGTGACTTCATGACTCATCATCATCATATGTGAAATGCATCTATTATCTTAGCTATATTTATGGTTCCTTAGCTATAAATAAATTACAGTACTCAAACAGAATAGCCCAAGTGTATAATTCTTAATTTGAAGGATAGAAATTGCAAAGTTTGTGTGGTGGGAATTTTACATTTGTGAAGAATGAAATGTTTCATTATGTTAAAAATACGTTTCCTAGCCTGTCAACTAGGGCTGAGATATGTGACCTGCCCAAGGTGGGACTAAAAATCAGAATCTTACTCAAAGCCTGTGCCTGGATTTATCCAGTTCCAGCTGACTGAAGCTTTTAAAATCAGTTGTATGCTGCACTATTTTTTTTCCTTTCTGGATTATTGAATATAAATTATGTACCTATACCAGTGGTGGGATTCAGCTGGTTCGCACCACTTTGGCAGAACTGGTAGCTAATTATTTGTTGCCCAGGCCCAGAATGGACTTCTGGAAGCAGCATCTACACAGAGAACTGGTTGTTCACATATTTGAATTCCACCACTGACCTATACACAGTTGAATTGAATGCTCAGAAGGAATAATTTAATAATTTGCATGACATAAAATTAAATTTCTTAAGGCAATACTATCCCTGTATCTGTTTAAGGTACTATGAAATGTGGAAAAAATTGTACAAACCAAGGAATTAATATTTGTAAAAGAGGTTCTCCCAAGGAAGGTATGGGAAGTGGCAGAGAATATTGCATAACTCTGAGCTGGTTTCTATCTTGTACTGTACAAAAACTGATCACAATACGTTTTCAAAACTGGTATCTTGCTGAATGCTAGTATAGGGCCCTTTCACAGTGTGCCTTCATTTGCAGCCTATGTCCCCAAATACCACATAGTTTTACTGCTTCTAACTTTGCATATATTCTTAGTTCTTATTTTGTTTGCTTTGCAAAATATTGCTGACTCCAAAACAGAATAAGTTGTGTGTGTGTGTGTATTACACATAATTATTCCTAATATTTATGTGTTGTACGCAGAAAGTATTTAGCACTCTTTTACATGCACCTTTTTCAAACTCTTTTTGCAGTCTTTTTGGGATTCATATTCTCCAAGTATGTACTTTTTAATGTAATTTTTGAGGAGGAAATGATGGATCTTTGTGAATCTGTTCCCTGCTGACAGTACCAGATGGAATCTGCTCAGACACAGCCATCCAATTCTCTTCCACTGGAACCCATATTGGGAATTTGTTACACTCCTACTCCTCACGTCTCTTTATTTGCCTTATTAGAAAATTAACCACAGTTCCACTAAAGGCTAACTTAAAAGAACATGACTTCATACATACGTGTGGATCAGTTATCAGAGTTCTGTTCTTCCGGCAGCTCTACAAACTATGTAGGACTCTTAACTTTTCTGCCTACAGAAGAATAAAAGAAGTGATGGGCTGCCATCTAGTGGCTTTTCTTTCATTTTCAGCCACTTGAAGTAAAAGGAGTTGTTCATTTTGTCATAACATTTCAGAATAGTGTCATAACATTTCAGAATACAAAAGCTCATATGAGAAAGTAGAAGGGAATAGGAGAAACCGGTACAGTCATGGCTTTTTTTCTCATAGAACACCCAGAACATTTGTTTCAGAGATTCCTTTGGAAATGGAATTAATTCATCAAATTGATGTTATTGCTTTTGAAAACAATTTCCAACTCAAATCGTTACAGACTTATACTCAGTGGTGGGATTCAGCCAGTTCGCACCTGTTTGGCAGAACCAGTAGCTAATTTTTTGTTGCCCAGGCCCAGAATGGACTTCCGGAAATGGAAGTCCATTCTGGAGAGAACCGGTTGTTCACATATTTGAATCCCACCACTGCTTATACTCTTTGTGAAGGTATATCAGTTTTTAAATTAGAATGCTCCTCAAGATACTTGATAGTGAAACAGAAAACTGGAACCAATACACAAGTTTGTTTGCCTTTTTCCAATTATTTTTAATTCTCAGTCTAGTGCAGTGGTGGCAAACCTATGGCACGGGTGCCACAGGCGGCACTCAGAGCCCTCTCTGGGCACGTGCGCCGTCGCCCCAGTCCTAGGCTTTCAGCTGGGTTTTATAAAACCTTTTTGCTTTAGGCCTCTGCTGCTGTGTGCAAAAAAAAAAAGGTTCAATTAATCAATCAATCAATCAATTTCAACTTCTCCCGGGGAAAAAAAAAGATCTTGCAAAGTTGGAATTGATTGAACTTTTTAGTCCCACCCAGTCTACCGTTACCACTGCAGCCACACCCAGCCAATGGGCCACACACCCCCAATTGGCCACACTCAGCCAATGGGCCACACCCACCCGGCACCTGACGATGCATAAGTGGGTTTTGGGTTGCAGTTTGGGCACTCAGTCTCTAAAAGGTTCGCCATCACTGGTCTAGTGTATAGCCCTGTAATTTTCTATCAAATTACAAACCAACTGAAACCCTGCTTAATGTTTCTGAGATCAGCCAACAGTGGTTGTTCCTTCTTTCATATCCAAAGTTTCCCGTCTTTGACTTCTCATGGTAACTGAAATTCGTGAAAGATATCTGAAAAAAAGTGAAAAATGCTAGTATGACATTATAATCATAGTCATAACAGAGCAGCAAGGATAAATGAGATCAAGCATCTGTCCCCTTCCCCTTCCTTTTTTTCTCATATGACTCAGTATAGAATAGAATAGAATAGAATAGAATAGAATAGAATAGAATAGAATAGGAGCTGGAAGGGACCTTGGAGGTCTTTTAGTCCATCCCCCTGCTCAAGCAGGAGAACCTATACCATCTCAGACAGGTGAATGTTGAGTCTCTTCTTTAAAATCCCCAGTGATGGAGCGCCCACGATTTCTGGAGGCAAGCTGTTCCACTGGTTGATTGTCCTCACTGTCAAGAAGTTTCTCCTTAATTCCAGGTTGCTTCTCTCTCTCGTCCTTCCCTCTGGTGCTTTGGTGAACAACCTGGCCCCCTCTGCCTTGTGACAGCCCCTCAGATACTGGAACACTGCTGTCTCCCCTATTTCTTCTTTTCTTTAGACTAGCCAAACCCAAGTCCCGCAGCCGTTCTTTGTATGTTTTAGACTCCAGGCCTTTGGATGTTGAGCGTTATGTGATAGAAAAAAACATACCAGGCACATCTAAGCTGGTCTTCCCTTCTTAATAATAATAATAATGATAAAGTTGGAAGGGACCTTGGAGGTCATCTAGTCCAACCTCATTTTATGATTGTTTTATTCATAAATATAAACTCAATGACTTAGTTTCCATTACTCCTTATGACTATTCTCCTTCCTTTTAGCAAGGCTCTTTCATTTCGTAGTACAATTAAATTAATGTTTCCAACTGTATTCAGCACCAACAGAAGAGAATTCAGCATTCAAACTGTTAGGTAATTAAGACTGACACTGCAGCCTGTGGTTTTTGCTGTCTATCTCATTCGCTGTTTGGTATTATTGTCCGGCCCTACTTAAAACAGTTCGGCTTCAAGACATTTATGCATGCATGCCAAATTTATTCTTTCCTTTCTCGGAAGTCACTACTTGAGAAAAACGCTCATGCTTTCCCGTGTTTATTGGAAATCAGGCACTTACAAAGACAGCCCTCTACGGAACATCATTTTCAGCGCCAGTCTGAGCGACTGCTGAAAGGCCCTTTGTTTTTCAGCTTCTGCCGGCGCGTTGTGGAAGCTTCGGGTCGGCGGGTAAATGTTGGTGGTGCAGGTTCCAGGACAGGGGAAAGGAATCCATCTCCATCGCAAGATTGAGCGGGCATCCGGGCGCAGACATGCAAGAAAACGCAAGCACAAAAGGGGCCTTTCTGAATGCGGCCACAGGGAACCGCAACTCTGGCGGCAATCGCCGTTCTTACCAGGATAAAGATAAGCCCGCCCAGATCCGCTTCAGCAACATTTCTGCGGGGAAAGGTACGGTGATGGGACAGCCCATTGTCTCCAATTGCGGAGGGGGGGGGGAAAGACGGGGGAATGAGTGGACCGCTCCGTTGACACCTGGCGGGCTCGGGCAGGGACTCCCGGTTCCTAAAGCCCGCAAGACCGCACCCTCGGCCATCCGCTTCTTTTGTCGGAGTGAACTGAAGCGCTTTCAGAGTCTTGTTGAAGATAAAGAGGGTCGAGCAGCATAAAAGTTTGCTGTTTGTAGCCCCGTTATTTTTCTGGTTTTTTTTTTAAACGAAAGGGAAGAAGGTGCGCCGCATTCGTTGTAAAGGACTGATTTCTTTTATCCCTTCCTATTCTTTTCCCACTTTCAGAAAGGGTAATGGATGTCATTGTACTGAATGTTTCCAGTGTGATTTGAAAGACAAGCCCACCTTTTATAAAAGAAAATCTTTCCTGGTCTGATTACACAATGTAGTAAACCAGGGGTACTCAACCTTGGCTCTTTTATGACTCGTGGACTTCAACTCCCAGAATTCCTCAGCCAGCTAAGCTGGCTCAGGAATTCTGGGAATTGAAGTCCACAAGTCATAAAAGAGCCAAGGTTGACTACCCCTGTAGTAAACCATAGTGCAGTGTTTCTCAACCTTGACAATTTTAAGGCATGTGGACTTCAACTCCCAGAATTCCACAGCCAGCAATGCTGGCTGTGGAATTCTGGGAGTTGAAGTCCACATGCCTTAAAATTGTCAAGGTTGAGAAACACTGCCATAGTGTGATCGGTTTGATTCAAGATTAAGATTGAGGTCAGTATTCATAAGTGGAAAAGGCTGCGGTGGGGAGGGGGACGGGGACTGAGAGTTATTCCAGAAAAGTGATGGGTAGATCACCTCCTCAGGATGATGCATGGTTGTCCCAAAGGTGCTTTTCCAAAAAATGGACTTTGGGTTTTTTTTCCTTGAAAACGCTTCGCATGCAAGAAGCTTCCTCAGTTCAGTTTTCAAGGAACAAAACAAGTTCAGTTGCCTTTTGGAAAAGCACCTTTGGGAGACAACCATGGCCTGGATGATTGAGAATCTCCGTAGACACTGACCCACAGGTGATGTCAGATCAAAAAAATAAATAAAACTGAAGATCAAAAATAAATTCATATGAGGAGAGTGATCATTTAAATAATTGGATTTTAATTATTTTAGTGTTCATATTGAATGTGGCTTGCATGTTATTGTCATATAGCATTTGCTGTTATATATAATTTATATGGTGCTGTCCCCCTATCCAAGGTATAATTACTATATAATTAATATAACATAAAATATTAGTATAGCTAGTCCTCGACTTGCAACAGTTCGTTTAGTGACCATTCAAAGTTACAAGGGCACTGAAAAAAGTGATTTTTGACTTTTTCACAGTTACAACCTTTCCAGCATTCCCACGATCCAAATTCAGATGCTTGGCAACTGGTTCATATTTATAACTGTTGCTGTGTTCCAAGATCACCTTTTGCAACCTTCTGACAAGCAAAGTCAATGGGGAAGCCAGATTCACTTAACAACTGGGTTACTAACTTATCATCTGCGGTGATTTACTTAACAACTGAGGGAAGAAAGGTCGTACAATTGGGCAAAAATCACTTAACAAATGTCTCACTTATCAACAGAAATGTTGGGCTCAATTGTGGTCTTACGTTGAGGACTACCAGTATTATAAAATAACATTATTTTAGCATTACTGTTACTATTTTTCCTGCAGTATTGGTTTGCTTTCTAACTCAGTTATTGAATTCCTGCATTATACAAAAATAGGATACGTTCCAATCTAATTTGCTGAAAAGCTATGACCGCTGGACCATGCAATCAATATATAAGCCACATTCAAACTATTTTATGTGTTAGTATACTTTGGTAATTTGGCATGCATATTGTGATTTTTCATTTTTGGCTTATGTGATATGAACAAAAGAAGTTGGGATTTATTTAGTAAAGCAAAGTTAAGCAATCAGCGTATTAACTAGCATAGTGTATGAATCAGTTTTATGTATTTTTGTGGAAGCTGGTATTTTAAACATCCTAAAGGATTTAGTGTCAAATTTATTAGATTTTTTGTGGCTATCAATGTCTGTTGGAATGGAGAGCCGTAACAAATCCAATAAATGAAATTACTTGAAGTAAATTTCTTCATCTCTATTTTAGAGGTAACGGATAATATGGTGAGTTTTGAGCTTGTGTGTGTAGTTTGTGCTCATAATAAGACTGCAGAGCATTTGAAAGATGTTTTGCAGAATGCATTAGTAGAAACAAAACATTCTGGAAGCAGTAAAATAACTATTCCAGGAAAGGCTTGATGAACTACTTCAAAGGCTTTCATCAATTGTCTTCAAGTGCATTTATAGCATTTCTGCTGGACCAAAAAACGAAGCAACTCTGCATGTGCAGAGATACTCAGAGCATCCCTTTGATACAGCCATGTAAACGTTTCCTGAAGATGCAGCTTTTATTAATATTTTCTGCAGGGCCTCACTTAATGGTAGTGTACTTTTGAACAGTAGTTTGCAGAGGATTAATAATAACTGAGCTCCCATGTGTAGATCCATTGAAAACTGATATGAAGTTGCTAAATACTTACATATGTTTTCAGAAGAAATATTTCAACATTTCTGCTTGCAAATTACATTTCAAGCTGTATTTTAATTTCAGAGTGCCAATTTCAGATGGTGGAGCACCAGAAATTGAGTTGACTTGAATGAATATTCTCGTGTTTTAAGTGGCATGGAATTTTACTGTGTTCGTGCTTATGGAGAGGCTCTGGAAATCCACCCTGGCTGAAAATGCGGGCCTTAATCCGATATCCACTGTTACAGAACTGAGAAACAGACATGCACAAGGAGAGAAAACTGCTGGCATTAATGTCAGAAAGGTAATCTACAAAGTGCAATAAAGCAAAAGATGTACCACATTATTACACATTATTTGATGTTTGTAAAATTCTGTCATTTTGGAATTCACTAGTACTATTGTTTCATGTTGTTTATTGCATTATGCATAACTCAAAGGATTGCTCTTGAAATTACAGTAAGTTGCGGCAAATGCAGAGAGGTGTATTAGGTCTGTAATTCTGTTTATTTTTCAAAGGCTGTTCCAATTTAGAAATGTCAGTGAAATAAAATCCTTTTTTCCTCTTATCTTAGAATATTGGACATTTTAGCAAGTGGCAATTCAACTGAAATATCTTTAAAATTCCCATAATAGAAATTGTGACTTAATTTGCTTTTTGTGGTGTGCCTAAACAAACAGCAGAGAAGCAGTTCTCATCAACAGATCCCACATGCAGCATAATAGCAACTTAAATTACAAAATATTATAATGACTGGTTTTGTGTTTCCATGTACTGGATACTCAGGTCATTTTTTCCAAATTGTAAAATATATGTGTATGTGTATATACATTGTGTGTACATACACACACACATACATAACCAGTCTTTATAATATTTTGTAATCATGTTGGCAGGCCAAATTCCACATAGTTTGTACATAAATTTGTGGATGTACTGTATGTGTATGGATTATTTATGCACTTTGCATATATTAATATAATAATTCTGTAGATAATACGCTGTGTGCATCTGAACAGACATTTTTATTCCCTCATTTCTCATACAGTGAGCGAAAAATTATTTGATCCCCTGCTGATTTTGTACGTTTGCCCACTGACAAAGAAATGATCAATCTATAATTTTAGTGGTAGGTTTATTTTAACAGTAAGAGACAGAATAATAACAAAAAAAATCCAGAAAAACGCATTTCAAAAAAGTTATAAATTGATTTGCATTTTAATGAGTGAAATAAGTATTTGACCCCTTTGCAAAACATGACTTAGTACTTGGTGGCAAAACCTTTCTTGGCAATCACAGAGGCCACCAGGTTTGCACACATCTCAGGAGGGATTTTGTCCCACTCCTCTTTGCAGATCCTCTCTTAAGTCATTAAGGTTTCGAGGCTGATGTTTGGCAACTTAAACCTTTAGCTCCCTCCACAGATTTTCTATGGGATTAAGGTCTGGAGATTGGTTAGGCCACTCCAGGACCTTAATGTGCTTCATCTTGAGCCACTCCTTTGTTGCCTTGGCTGTGTGTTTTGGGTCATTGCCATGCTGGAATACCCATCCACGACCCGTTTTCAATGCCCTTGCTGAGGGAAGGAGGTTTTCACCCAAGATTGGACGGTACACGGCCCCGTCCATCGTTCCTTTGATGCGGTGAAGTTGTCCTCTCCCCTTAGTAGAAAAACAGCCCCAAACCATAATGTTTCCACCTCCATGTTTGACGGTGGGGATGGTGTTCTTGGGGTCATAGGCAGCATTCCTCCTCCAAACATGGTGAGTTGAGTTGATGCCAAAGAGCTCGATTTTGGTCTCACTTGACCACAACACTTTCACCCAGTTCTCCTCTGAATCATTCAGATGTTCATTGGCAAACTTCAGAAGGGCCTGTACATGTGCTTTCTTGAGCAGGAGGACCTTGCGGGTGCTGCCAGATTTCAGTCCTTCATGGCGTAATGTGATTTTCTTGGTGACTATGGTCCCAGCTGCCTTGAGATCATTGACAAGATCCTCCCGTGTAGTTCTGAGCTGATTCCTCACCATTCTCATGATCATTGCAACTCTACTAGGTGAGATCTTGCATGGAGCCCCAGACCGAGGGAGATTGACAGTTATTTTGTGTTTCTTCCATTTGCGAATAACCGCACTAACTCTTGTCACCTTCTCACCAAGCTGCTTGGCGATAGTCTTGTAGCCCATTCCAGCCTTTTGTAGGTCTACAATCTTGTCCCTGACATCCTTGGACAGCTCTTTGGTCCTGGCCACGGTGGAGAGTTTGTAATCTGATTGATTGATTGCTTCTGTGGACAGGTATCTTTTATACAGGTAACAAGCTGAGATTAGGAGCACTCCCTTTAAGAGAGTGCATCTAATTTCAGCTCCTTACCTGTATAAAAGACACCTGGGAGCCAGAAATCTTGCTGATTGATAGGGGATCAAATACTTATTTCACTCATTAAAATGCAAATCAATTTATAACTTTTTTGAAGTGCATTTTTCTGGATTTGTTGTTGTTATTATTCTGTCTTTCACTGTTACAATAAACCTACCATTAAAATTATAGACTGATCATTTCTTTGTTAATGGGCAAATGTACAAAATCAGCAGGGGATCAAATAATTTTTCCCCCTCACTGTATTTATTTGAATCTAAGGAATATCTGTAACCTTAGCAAAGCCTATTCCATTTCCGGTAAACTTCCAATGTAGCGTAATAATTTGTTGGAATTCAACTTTGTATGTACTGGTTTTCTGCCCCCAGAAATCTAGTGACTACTAGGCACTAGTAGAGAGAGCAGTGGGATTTGTTTCCTAGTATTTTCTTTCCTTGCCTTAAAGACCTATTTCGCATGTCTATAGGTAACCTATTTCGCATGTCTTATTGGTTTGACCAGTATTATTAGAGATTTTATCATTTGTTAGTTGCAGTTAGGCTTTCCTAACCCCACACTATTTCCTAAATACTGTAAAGAAGGGGTCCCCAACTCCTAGTCCATGGACCAGCACCGGGCCGCAGCATGCCAGAAACTGGGCCGCACAAACAAGCAAAGCCCCATTTGTGAGATGCAGACAGCATGTGAAACCACGCCCCCTCTCATCCACGGAAAAAGCTGTCTCCACAGAACTAGTTCCTAGTGCCCAAAGGTTGGGGGCCACTGCTGTAAAGCTTATCTTAATTTTTTTCATTTAAGCATCTGCCTAAATAACATTTACTTATAATTTTAGTGTTTCCCTTTCTCAATACTTTTTTTCTATTATATAAAGCTATCTGCTTTCCAATATAATTAGGTTGCTAGACTAGGGTGTGGAAAGCCTAATATACTGGGATGTTCAGAGTCAAAGAGAACAAAAGTGGGTTGGAAAAACACTATCCCCCTGCACATTCCTCTCTCATCTGGAAAATGGATGCCCATCTATCTGGTTGTTATTAAAGGCAGAATAGTCATTTACTGAAAGAAAAAAGGAAAATCCTCCACTTTAGTACCTGAGAGATAAATTAGGTTCTAAAATGAAAGTACTGTAAGTTGAAATTTGTTTAACCGTATTCCATTCCATTTCAACAGAGCTAAAGGAAGCTAAAGGAAACTAAATTCCAATCAATCAAATCTTTATTATGATCATAGACCAGGATAAGAAGGGTGAAATATAAACAGTCATTTTAAAAGCTAAAAATAAAAATATACAAAGTTAATATATAGCTAATTAAATCTATCACAATGTAAAATACTCTTATCTAAGCACTTAAATACTCATTAAAGCTGATTTGAGGCACACCAGCTGGAGGATTTTAATCCCTGCTGCACAGAACCTGGCAACCTTATATGCTGTAGCTGGATTAACGTCTGCAAGCAGCAGAGAATAATAAAATTGTCCTATGGTCCCTGAGTATTGATTTATATAGCATTGGTGAGATGAGGCTTGCATGAATGTCCATGGAGTACTGGCACTGGAGAAGCACTTCTGTTGTTTCTGTGTGTCCACAGTCATGGACACATTACCTCTCTGGGTAGGGAGTTTTCTAGTATTGGCCTTCAAGGACAGCTGAGGGGAGGGTATGACACTGTACCAGAGTGAAGACCCTCCGGTGGCTAGATACTTCGAGGTTGAAAGAAAACTCTAGAAAATCTTGTTTTTGGTTGAAGTCAGCTGCTAAGAGCTTGGCATTTGTGTTCAGACCACCCTGGATAATTTTAGGTTAGTCATTTTTTTTCTTAATCCAATGCATTTCACAGGAATATTGAGGGGTTTGCCTTGAACCCCCAAAGTGCATCTTACTTAGTTCAGTTCATCCTTAATGCAACAAAGCTTTCCCTCCCATGCTTTTTCTTTTCCTTTTCCCAATATGTAATTAATGCAACCAGTCTCCATCAGCATTGCGTAATATGAGCAGCACGTGCATGAAGACATTTTAAGAGGGTTTGTCTTTTTTTGCATAGGTCAGTCTCCCTTTCCCTATGTGGAGCTAAAAGTAACCCTATTCTAAGAGGCAAACTCCCAACAATAAATAAGTTAACAGAGAATCTCACGTATCATGGACATTTATAATATCTATTCTCTCAAGAATGGCCGATGCTATGCAGATATTTACTTTGAAAATGTATATGGCTGTCTATCTGAAACAGATAAGGGGTACTTGCTGCTCTCTGAGCTTGATTGTTTTCTTGCAGATGTTTCATTAGCCACATCAGGGAACTAGTTTGGATAAAGAAACATCTGTAAGGAAACAACCAAGCTCAGAAAGCACCAGGGACTGCTTATTTCAACTCTGAGCTAGAAATATTCTCCTTTATTGAAACAAATAACTCTGGGTGGCTAATGAACCAATTTATAAGAAAACAAAGCAACATAAGCCCCAAAAGAAACTCCATAACCAAAGTTAAAATATTCATGCCATGAAGAAAAACTAAGGCATGTAACTTCTCCAAACTGATAATTTCTATTTTTCTATTTAGTTGTATTCATTTGGATAAATTATTATTTTCTTTCCAAATTTCTTTAGAAAGCAAGAGTTTATTAGGGCAATGGCTAAGGACCAAGAATTAAAGTACAATCAAGCTGCTCTCATTATGAAAGGTCTTAATGACTTGGCCTCTGAGCATTTAGGAGACTACTTCCTTCAGGTTGACTTGACCCATCCAGTGGATTCAGCACTAACTGAAGTTTGAAAGTCCTTGTTATCAAGTGACGATGAAGGCACATGTTTTTTTGTATAAATTCCATCCCCGTGGAGAGATGTCATACACCTCTATGAATATATGGGTTATACCAACTCCCTCTGCTATTTAGAAAGGTAGCCAAAACAGACTGGAGATGTTTTATTCAATAATTTTTATTTTATTATGATGTAATCATTGAGGGTTTTTTGAAGTATGAGATCATTGCTGTTGTGATATTTCTAGTTACTGATGTTGTGGCTATGGGCTTTTAAAATGTTTTATGTGTATTTTAACTGCTGAGTGTCCATGTGGAGTAAGCAGTGCACAAAGACTGCAATAAATAATTTCCCAAGGATGGACTTGGGCGTTCCCCACTTTTTAAAGTTATGAGGTAGCCAAGGGTTGTTGGCCTGTGTGTTTCTGAATCTGCAATCTTTTACTGCACGATCAGCATTTAGAAGACAAGGAAGGGAATGCTGGTCTTAAACTTTTCCAAACCAGGAAGCACCAGGAGACAGAGGTTTCAGAATGATGCAACATATATAACAGAAAGCATGAACTTTCTTATTACCAGCTCCAGTGTTATAATAAACTCAAGAATGACCCGGAGAAATTTGAAAGAAATTCTCAAGCACCCGGAGAATAAGTCAGAAACAATGAATGTAAGGAGCAGAGAATAACAATGAACTAAGATTAAATGTAAAGAGTTAATGTTAACATTAACCATCCTTAGAATTGGCATTGAAAGTACTGAATGATAAATAGCTTCTCTCTTTTAGGATCAACTATCAACAGTTAAGAAACCAGCAGTCAACAAATACACCACAGATGAGCACTTGGTATGGCAGCCATGAAGACCTTGGAAAAGATATTAAGTTGCTCTGATGTGTCTATATCAGAATCATGCAGTAATTGTGATGTTCTTGTGATGTTCTATGAAAATGAGAGCTGGATTTTTGGAGAAGCCAGTTATCAAAAATATTAACAGTTTGGAACTGTAATAATAAAATAAAATAAAATAAAAGCCCGTGCAGTAGACATATTTTGCACTCTCCAGTATATGATGGAATAGGTCACTTTCTTTGCCTATGAATGCTGGGGCCCCCTCTAGTGCTAATTTTCAAGCCCATACGGAGTCTATAATCAATTTTTTTTTGTTGTTGTTAGTTGCGAAGTCGCGAAGTCATGTCTGACCCCATGGACAACGTTCCTCCAGGACTTCCTGTCCTCTACCATCTTCTGGAGTCCATTTAAGCTCACGCCTACTGCTTCAGTGACTCCATCCAGCCACCTCATTCTCTGTCGTCCCCTTCTTTTATTGCCCTCAGTCTTTCCCAGCATTAGGCTCTTCTGCAATGAGTCCATCAAATTACATACCCAGAAATAAATATTAATTGGCACATGGACATAGTAAATAAGAAAGATGATTTTGCTATGGTTCCAATGATGCTATGATAAATAGAGATTTTAAATACACAATAATACTTTTTTATGCAGACTTATTCTCTTCGCATGTGTCATTAAGGTTTTTTTTTTATTTCTCCTGTTCAATTGTCTCCAATTCTCAAAGATTACCTGGCAATTTTTTTTGGCATTTTCAAAGTGATTTGCTGTTGCCTCCTTCCTAGGGCTGAGATAACGTGACTGGCTCAAGGTCAGCCAGCTGGCTTTGGGCTCAAGCTGGGACTAGAAATCAGAGTCTTATTCACAAGCCTATGCTTCGATTTATTCAATTCCAGCTGACTGAAGCTTTTAAAATCAATTGTATGCTGCACTATTTTTTTTCCTTTCTGGATTACTGAATATAAATTATGTATCTATACACAATTGAACTGAATGCTCAGAATGAATAATTTAACAATTTGCATGACATAAAATTAAATTGCTTAAGGCAGTACTCCCCCCCCCGTCTGTTTAATGAAATGTGGAAAAAATTGTGCAAACCAAGGAATTAATATTTGTAAAAGAGGTTCTCCCAAGGAAGGTATGGGAAGTGGCAGAGAATATTGCATAACTTTGAGCTGGTTTCTATCTTGTACTGTACAAAAACTGATCACAACACGTTTTCAAAACTGGTATCTTGCTGAATGCTAGCATAGGGCCCTTTTACAGTGTGCATTCATTAGCAGCCTAACTATGTGCCCAAAATATCACACAAGCAGGCTATAAGTTAGAAATCCTAATAGAATAACATGGCCATGCTAAGGGGCCAAATTGGGCTTGAGTTGCATTTGTGACCTGGATAAACTTGTCAAAACTGATGGGTACTATCATTGGCATTATCAGGGAATGCTGTAGGTGACATGAGTAAAACTAAGACTAGCAATAGCATGTAGACTTGTATATGACTCCATAGTGCTGTCTGACTGAGCAGTTTACAGTATCAACATATTGCCCCCAACAATCTGGGTCCTCATTTTACCGACCTCAGAAAGGTAGTTTATACCTTTTTTATCTTATGAAGATATATTATGTGAAAGCCTTGACTGATGTAAGTCATGGTAGGTCATGGAGACCAATTTCTATGGGTCAACTAATTATATCCATACCATTTAGAAAATTATGACATGGAATATAGGATAAATAAATGGTAAACAGCATGACATAATGGACAAAAGTAAAGAAAAATATATTGTGAAACTAAGGAAAAGGCTATAATGAATCCTGTGGAATGGATTGATGGTATAGATTTAGCTATAAATGAAAGGACTAACATACAGTAGTCAAAACTGCCTTTTCCAAAGTGAATCTGCAAATCAGGAAGATCAAGGACAAGTTCAAGTCCCTGAGGACTTTCTGCAAACACTCTTTAACTGAGCCTTCTCAGTGGTAGCCCCCATTGTATAAAGCAGCTTGCCTTCACACATTCAGATTGCCCCCTCCCTGCTGAGTTTTTTTGAGGCTTTTAAAGCATGGCTTTTTGATGGATCGTTTGGAGGATTGCTAATATGAGACCTGCCTGGTGGATGGCATTGCTATTTTGTTTTTGAGTTTAAAGGTTAATTCTATGGTGTTGCACATCCTCTATGTGATAACGCTCGCTCTACTCACAGCCTGTGGAAATGGATCAGGATATAAATAGTAGTAAATAAATAAAATTTTAAGAAAATATGACTTGTTATATCTGTTGTGCTATGCGTATATGAAAGACTTTATATCCTTTTGGTTCTCTCTTTTCCAAAGTTGGGGGGGGATTGTACATCTTGGCAGAATTTTTACTAAAGATATGGATATAGAAACTTTATGACATGTAAATTCTAGTAGAAAGCAATGAGTAGTGTATAATCCTTTGTAAGGAATGGATTTTTGTGAAAGAAGCAAAAATAGCTGCAATATGTATAAGAATATGCTTCTTTATTATAAGAGAACAAAAGCCCTGGTTTACATTCCAGGTTATCTCTAGTCAGTGGTGGGATTCAAATATGTGAACAATCGGTTTTCTGTGTGGATGCCGCTTCCAGAAGTCCGTTCTGGGCCCGGGCAACAAAAAAGTAGCTACTGGTTCTGCTGAACTGGTGTGAACTGGCTAAATCCCACCACTGTCTCTACTGAATTAATATAGTTCAGATTTTACACATAATTATTCCTAACATTTGCACTGTACGGCAAAAGTACTGTCCATTCTTTTACATGCATCTTTTTTCTAACCCTTTTAACAGTCTTTTTGAGGACTCATCTTTCCCAATGTACACTTTTTAATGTAATTTTTGAGGAGGAAATGATGGATCTTTGGGAATCTGTTCCCTGCTGACAGTTCCAGGTGGAATCTGCTCTGGCACAGCTACCCAATTCTCTTCAATTCCTACTCCTCACATCTCTTTATTTGTCTTATTAGAAAATGAACCACAGTTCCACGAAAGGCTAACTTAAAAGAGCATGACTTCAGTTATCAGAGTTGTTCTGACAGCTCTACAAGCAATGTAGGCCTCTTAACTTTTCTGCCTACAGAAAAAATAAAAGAAGTGATGGGCTGCCATCTAGTGGCTTTTCTTTAATTTTCAGCCACTTGAAGTAAAAGGAGCTGTTCATTTTGTCATATAACATGTCAGAATACAAAAGCTGATATGAGAAAGTAGAAGGGAATTGGAGAAACCGGTACAGTTAATAATTAAAAGTGATGTGGTTCAGTAACTGCCTTACATGTCAGAAAACCTCTAGTTCAAGTCTCATCTCAGGTAAAATTTCTCTATCTTTTAGCAAGACAGCATGGGAGTTGAAGTCCACCCATCTGAAGCATTAGGTTAGGAGAGAATGGCATAATGATAGGTGGGCTGGTCAACTTGTTAACCAGCCAGCCCAAAGCAAGCATTCTAAATTTCACATTGAAACAGATGCTATCTTTAAAAGAGGAAAACTACTTTAAGCAACCAAAAACTGGATTAAGTAGTTCCATTTTATATGAAAATTCCAGATATATTTGAGTAGTAAATATAAGTGTTTGTTCAGTGTGACAAGTCAGATTGTTTTTTTAAAAAACCAAGAATTGTCAACACCAATAATCCGGTCTGTATGGAGGCGAGAAGAAAATTGCAAGGTGAACAAGGTCAGGGTGGATAAAGGGGGACATCTCCACAACAAACCTCCAGAGCCAATTGAATGTGCAGGATTCTTGGTGCAGTATGTCATTTTAACCCACCTCCATGGAATGCATCAATATGACCTGCATTTACCTGCTGTCAGTGCTGTGACAATTGAGAAATTGTAGCCATTTTATCTTTTGCTTTCCTTGTGCTTTTTTCTGTTGTTTGGGATTCTCAGATGTAGAAGGGGGGAATGCTTGAGCATTTTCAGTTAGCCTAAACAATTGCAGCTGTGTGAACATCAAGGTCAATTCTAGATAAAGTTTTGGCGGCCTGGGTTTTAGATTAATTGGTGAATGTGATTTATGATAGTCTTTCTGGGGTGGGAATTGCAACTTGTTACTTTGTATCAGGGGGAGGAAACTTTAGTCTTGGGTTCAACTATGTAAGTGCCGATACTTTGTTTCCTAAATAAAATGTTCTTTAAGGAAGAAATCTTTGCCTTGAAGTTCTTTTAAATGGTTTCATCTATCGGAACCATGACACCTGCATTTGAAGATATCACTTCTAGAGTGGAACATCTTAACTTGTTGTCAAGATGCCTCAGCTATAAGCAGCTGCTGAGAAACAGACTGACATGCAAGCATGTTCTAAGGATCAGGCCTTTAGATTAAGTTAGAGACAGTTATTTGTCAGGAGACAGCATATTATACACACATCAGGCTTAACTCTGCAACTTGAAAGCCAAGCTCATAAACCATAACTTAAATATCAAAGGTAGTTATTAGTATTACTATGAGAAGAATAGACCATAACCCCTTTTCCATCAGTATTTAGGTTTAGCTCTTGAAATGCTACTTGGTTATCAACTTTGTATTATGTAAGACTCATATTTAAAATTACATAAATCAAGATTCATGACAGCTAAGACAGTCTGCCTGACTTGCCCTGACTTCCCAGTCTCACACTCAGTCCCAGAAACATCACTTTCCAAAATATAATTTCTTTTAATTGGAGTTCCCTGTTCTTCTAGTTCGATAGAAAACAAAATATATAATTTCTGTCTACAAGTGATGGAGCTCAGTAATTTGACTACCACATCACAACTTTATGCAACGTTATCGCCTTTTTGAAAGAATTAAATTAACAAAGCAAAGAATGTTCATCTCATTGTGGAAGATACTAATTATCCCCTTTGCCTCTAAAAAGAAGGCGTGAGTGATGCATGATGAGTCTTGCTGGGAAAGATTCATGAACATTTGGAAATGCAACACTTAAATAATGTCTCAACTGCTCAGAGTAGAATGAATAAACAGGGAGCAATGAGCATATGCTCCCTGAAAAGAAATTTTTTGAAAGTTACTTTTCTGATTAGCTGATTGGAAAACTGTTTTTCAAAGAACAACCAGATTAATATAAGGCTCATGTCCTGGATATCTTAGAAACAGGCTATCTCAAGTAAATTCTGCTCAACCAATCCAAGTGCCCTTCTAACAGAAGATATGATATTCTAGTTAAGCAGATTCGCACCATCATTATTTGTGATTGTTGACAGTTTTCCTGCTTTCATTGTATTATTATTATTTATAATG